TTTTCGCTAAAAACACAAAGGCTATAGCCTTTGTATATTTTGCGAAAAATGAAAAAAATAAAAATCGCTTTTTGCCAAAAATGAAAAAAATAAAAATCGCTGGAAATGGTTGGGATTGGTCCGACAGCATCCTCTTTCAATATCCCCGTCGAAATTTCACGCTGCCCGGCCATTTGAAGTGGGTTACGCCTGTTTTTCTCGGACTGGCTGGCGCGCCAGATTCAAAAGACCACCCCTCGATTCGACAGAGGTGAACCAGGGGACCACAAAACTACTTTTGGTTCCGCCAGAAACCACCCCCGTTCAGAGAAACTTGAGTTTTAAGGGGTGGTCTTTTGAATCTGACGCGCGAGCCAGTCCGAGAAAAACAGGCGTAACTCACTTCAAATGGCCGGGCGGCGTGAAATTTCGACGGAGATATTGAAAGAGGATGCTGTCGGACCAATCCCAACCATTTCCAGCGATTTTTAATTTTTTCATTTTTGGCAAGATATACAAAGGCTATATAGCCTTGTGATTTTAGCGAAAATTGATGGGTCCGCACTGCAAAAAATTAGAGTCTGATACGGAACGATCTACATCATTACTGTAGATGCCGCTCTTAGTCACTGCACTTAGGGTACAGAGCGCGGAGTGCAGTGATGCTGTAGCACCGGAAAGCCCAGGTTTTACACGGTACAGTGTACGAATACGGCTTCACTGTAGACAGTGTTGTCCGGTGTTGCCTGCACAGTGGTCCTGTACATTGCTCCCTGTACCAGATTTTAACCACTTAAACTACAGCGATGCTGTTATTGGAATAACAGACGTTCCTGGAAAATAATTAGCCGAATTAGCTGTAATTCTTCCTGTCATAATTTTTTGCAGTGGAATATTAGGGGGAGGTATTTAATCCCTTTAGTTTGCCCTTCTTTAAAATATGTCATTTCATAGATTGCAGTAAATTTGAAAGCTTTATTTACACTTTTCCCGCCGTTCGATCGTTCGTTCGTTTGACCGATGTTAAAGAGATAGCCTCTTGCACAAGGGCGAGAGGCATTGATATTTTTCGTTTATTTCGCTTTACTTTTTAGCGCTGTTTACTTCTGGTTGATATTCTAGCATTGGCGGAAGTAATGAATTCGTCTGTAGACAGTTCATTTTAAGCTGACTCGGGCACTGTCGGCTGGACCTACGATCGTGTAGCTTCAAACAGGGACGTGTTATACCTTTGGTATGTTTTGCCACACTTAAATTGCATAGAAAAGTGGCTCCAAATGCTGCATGTGTTAGAAGGGCTATCAGTCATACTGCTACAATTTGTTTAAACTTTTATTATGAACCATAAATCTCTCCAGTAATTGCCATAGTTTACATTGATAGAGGAGAATTAATCTTTTTACTGCACCCAAGAAGGGCAATGTTATACAATAATATTATTTTACCATGTCTAGTTCAGTCAAAGGATTTCTTCTGCGAATGTGCAACATATGTTGTTCTCTCTTCAAATCTAGTTGGGCAATTATGAGCCAGTTTTGCTGCATTACATACTATTAACAATTAATCAATCATCCCTAACTGACCAATTTTGAGTGTTCTTTTACATATCTGTTTGTATTACTTGTTTTGATCAATAAAGAGAATTGTTCATAGATATCATCAATAACGTCAAATTTAAATGAGCCTTGTTATGTGTGGCAAGTAATTATTATTTTCTGTCATGACTGGTACTTATGAACTCTTCCAGTCTGCTATTAAGGTCCTTCAATAGTTAAATTTTGACATTGTACAGAGATCAAATTTCAAATTCATCAAAACTGAATGCAAGTGTTTTGACAGGTGCCCACCAAAAGTTAAGAACACTCTGAAGTTTGACTCCTACCTTTCATCGATTTGATCATTATAAAATCACAGCAAATTAAAGACTATGTAACATAAGGACACAGGAAAAATTATTTTCTACTCTGAATAAAAGCTTACAACATATGTACTTGTTATATTACAGGTCAATTACTTTCTTTAAAATGCAGACATTTCTTAAATGACACCACACACTCGGTCTCATTTACCGGTACTATTTTCGTACCAAGTCAGCAGGATGCTATTTTAAAAAAACAATAATACCAAACAGACATACGTTTGGTTTCAAGAAATTGGGAAAATGTCTCTTGTACATGTCTCCACCTATTTTATACAATGCCATTTCCAAACATGAATTTTGCTGACAATAGCACTTAAAGTAGACAGCAGGTGTTTGTTCTCCATACAAATTGCGTTGTATATTGAATATATCATGATGGGTCTGTGATGACCATACCGTGAAAGCACATGATAAATGCACAGGAAGTATGTTCATTCGGCCGACTTAATTTATAAATAACCAATGTGTATTATTATTGTTTTACACAATCCACAAAGATGAGCAAAAAAAAATTAAGTATCAATTTTAATTTACTAATTTTCTCTTGTAGTTACATACCATATTTCGAGATCACAGTCAAGCATTACAGGGAAACATAGAGCACTTGGTACTTACAGCGTTCTGGCATTAGTTTACACTTACTTGGCCAGGTATACACATTTTGATACTTTAAGAGCATCATACATTCAATCAGCTGAGCTTTGCTGACACAAAACACACAATACATGTGTAACAATTTGCCATATGTTTCAGGCCCTTTGAGGGATAATTAAAATGGTAGAATACAAACATGGGATATGAGTTCATTCCAAAATGGAAAGATCAATACAATAATGGCTGAAAGCCAGTGATAGTTTAAGAATTCCAAATTCAAAATTTTGATTCTAAGTATTCAAAATGGAAAGCTAATTTGAGGTGATAAGCAATACAAGTTACTTTAATATCTACAACGCACATATGCATTATCACATATAAATAGGTTCTCCAATTTAAGGTAAATTGGACACACTTTGTGCCTTAATAACTAGATGTATAGTAAAATCATGACACCCAGCTATTTTTGGTGGATTTGAGAGTTCAAATCTGAAATATTTCTTACTAGAAATATACACTCCTCATTCTTATGTCAAATGCAATAACTGGAGATTTTAATGACAGTCGATCCACAGTGCCCATTCTGTACGAGTAGAAAAGTCTGATGCAAATTTAATAAATAGTGCAGTGAGCCAGGCAAACATGCTTATCCCACAATGAAAAGAAATTCCGGGTTCAATCATTAGTTATTGACTCAACTGCTGTAATGAAAAGAAACTTTGATCTTTAACATGAATTGTGGCAAAATATATACAGGCAGTATGACTAAGGTGTTAAGTATGATATCACACAACTGAGACACAGACTGGGACATGACTCAAAAATAAAGGGAATATAATCATAAATTTAGAAATGATTGTTATTCCCAACTCAATGTTAACACAAGCAATGCATCACAATGTGATAATAATCCTAAACCAATAATGAGAAAACAACAACAACAAAATTTTCAGAACAATTAGATAGCACCAGCAAACACATCTCCTACACGAATCAATAAATGCACAAAGTTTTATTTTTGCACACTTGAAGACCCCAAACTTTCAATTCAAAAATGGTATTCCAGCCTCTGGGGAAAAATATAATTTTATATTCTTAAGTTATATGTACACAATGGTTCGCACTAATTATAATGTAAAAAATACACAATGTTGTGGTCTTCTTTAAAGCTGACTGCATGTTAGGCAATGACTGCAATAAATTTTATCTAGAGGAAAATAAAAAGTCCCCCCCCCCCCAAAATCCAAGTTTCAATAGTTTTCTACATATTTACACTGAAGACAATACTGATTAAGCTGTATATTGTTCCCTTTCCGATCTGGATCAATAAAAAATGCATATATGACATAATTGTACATGAAATGCAAGTAACTCGCAAGGAAATTGCAGAGGAGCCTTATGTTTCCAGGAATATTTTTTTGTACTGCCCCTACAAGCAATAACTAAAATAAAATGGAATGCTTTGCAGTTAGAGATGGTTGAAGTTAAATATAGATTCAATCATTTCCAACATCAGGAACTTTAAGCCTTACGAAACAAATTTGAAATACATGCCAATAATCAAATTACGGTGGACATACACTTTTTGTATCAGCTACATAGCAAAGTACAGTATCAGCCAATTTTACAGAAAGAAAAGAGATATCAGCTACTAATAATTTTACAAGGAATATTATTCCAGTCTAAAAATGTACATTAAAAAAGTATTCTTTTACAATGATAATTTTTGGCTTAAATGTGATATTTAATACTTTGCTCAAAATAATCAAAACTAGTATTAACTTTTCTAACAGTACACTTGCTGAGCAAATATGTGCAAACATGGTTACTCACGCAAACAACAATCACGTTGGTAACAGTAACAACAATCAATGCAAATTTTCTAGATAACTTTGCAACACCCCCATTCCCAACCAGCTCCTTAATATTTAGGACAGTAAATGGTGCTTACGTGGTTACACAGTAAATCACCAGAATAGATACACAAAACACCACTTTGAGCTCACTTCTCACTTTTTTTTAATAGTAAAGAGGCTCACAAGACGGAGTGCTGGTGGTGGGGGTTGGTCTCCTTCATCATCTCAGTGCACTGAGGGATGCAACAACGATGAAAGCAGATGTTATGAGAATACCTGATAATTGTGCAGTGGTAGCACCATCCGTCCCATCAATCCCATAATCACACTGACCTGTAACAAGAAGAAACATAATAACATTAGAACTACTTTAATGCACTTTTATATTTAGAGTGTGCAAATTTTAAAAAATTGTGGCTATAGCCTCATTTATTTAACTTACCCTCTACAGTAAGATTAAAAGCTAATGCCCCATTGTGGCCTGGAACTATATCTCTGAGGCAAGATTCTGCGACAGTTGATAACCTTAAGATAGAAGACCGACGAGCAGCTGCTGTTGGCCCATGTTTACCATCCAGCCTGTTATATCCGTGGGCTACAGGCATGAGTTCTCGTGTGTAGATAAAGCAGAAGCGCTTAGCACCAACGGCCTTGCTGGTAGATGCTATCAAATAGCTAGTTCCATTTTCTTCCCATGTACCATGACATGAGTAAGATGTGGCCATATTGGTACATTTGGAATGAAATTCCATTACATTATTGTTGTTTTGACATCCAACAACTAATGAGTGAAAGTTATTTTCTGAACAGTCTGCGAAATTGTCAACATGAGTACCATCTGGGTCGCTTGCTGCACTGCCTGATTCTACGGCTTTCCTTTTTTGGCGAGGTTGTGAAAGTTGGTCAGTTACTGAATACCGGCCAACATGTGGGCACTTGCGGGGGCGCAGCGTGTAGGCTGTAAAAGGCATGGAAGTTATGAAAGTCACAGTTCAGTAGGTTTTCACTGTTAATATGAAAATGAACATGATCTTACTTGTAAGGGTGACATATGGAAGTGATTTGGGGTCAAAGAAATCAGCACTACAAGCCTCTTCTGGCACAGTTGTGTATTTATCTGTAATTTAAAATAAAATAGAGAAAAGATAGAAAGAAATAACAACAGCAATGAAAAATAAAATAAAATTGAATTGTTTTTCTACTTACGAGATTGTTGCACTTCTATCACACGACTGTCCCTCTCGTAAAATATCATGCAGATAAATCCACTTTCACTGAAATAAAAACATACAAATAAATGCCACACAATTTTAGGGCAGCTCTTAAGCAAGCCAACACACGATCAAAAACAAAAAGGATTCAATCTTAAATTACAGGTGCCCTCACAATGAACGATACCCGCGGTAACGGACTTGACTTGCCCTTTGGACTCCGAATTGCCCCCCACTCTGTTGTTGATGGCGCCCACAATGCGCTGGGTAGGCTATCCCGCCAGGCAGCTGCGCGGCGCGGGCGGCCCGGCCTGTGAGCCGCGGTGGGCACGGGTACGGGCACGGGCACGGGCAAGAGCAAGAGCACGGGCAAGAGCACGGGCACGAGCACGAGCACGGGCAAGAGCACGGGCACGAGCACGAGCACGAGCACGAGCACGAGCAAGAGCACGAGCA